GGACCCTAATTTTGGGAACTCTCCAGATGTTCGCAGCATACACGTGCCACACTGACTGTGGCATGGTTGACCGTCAACTGCCTGTGGCTCGAAGAGCTGTGCCAGACAAGCCAAGTCAGTGAAGCCCAAACCTGGAAACTAAGAGCGTCAGGCTTGAAGTAATAAGCCAGCCACGACTCAACGTCAAGCATTGCATACTCGCATTTGAATGAAGGAGCAAGCAAAACAATTTTGTCTACCACTTCATCTGACTCTGCCAGGTGAAGCGATCACAACCACCGCCGCGCTGAAGAGACGTCGGCCTTCGGCAGCCTGGCAACATCGGTGTACAGATTTGGGTTGACGTGGGTTGGTTTGTGTTTTTTTGTTGCTTATGCGTCCTGTCAGATGCATGAGTGTGCTAGAGTGATCCGACAGCAATTAACAAAGCTGAGATAGTTTGATTGTATCGCTTCTCGTGTTCCATCCTGCCAGCAGCAAGATGTTTGAGAGCCGTTTGCAATGCAGTTCTCGATGCACATGTCATGCGCCTGCTGTGAATTTGGCTAAGAACTATAGATCTAAGCGGCATCATACCGCAATCTGAGTGACTAAGCCCATCCGTCATCCATGCTAGCTGCACAGTACCGGATTGTATTCAGACACACCCCACGCCCAACTGCATGCCGCATTCAGTTCGAGCACACCTAAGGTCCTGAAATTGGAGGGTTTGGCAGCTTGACTGTGGATATGTCGCGTCGTTGGCTACGCATGAATCTGCTGCGAGTATGCCACCATGAAGTTAGGGTAAATGCTCTTGAATAAACAAGCCTTAGTAGGCGCGTGACCCTAACTCAGCCTTCCTTTGTCGACTTTCCTACTTCTTGGCATTGGACTTGCGCATGTGAACGCAGCCCAGGCCCCCTCAACTCTTTACAACGTGGAGGTGCAGGGTGCTGAACTTCTGGTCGACCGCTGCAGCTTCCGAACTCTGCCGGCTGGTGGCTTCAGGCTTCTGGGCCTGGGTCTGCCGAATCAGCATTCCTGGACCAAGACCCACCCAAAAGGGCCCAAAAGGCCATTGCTTTACATANNACATACTTTTGGGGTTCAGGTTGACACATCCCTTGGCATGTGCAACTGCAAATCTTGTTTTGGAAGGCCTGGGCAAGCTTCTGGCAAGCCTCCTAAGCTGTTTCTTGCTGCTTTACTTGTCATGCAACAGCCCTTGCTACCCTTGCGAACCTACTTTGTCTGGCCTTTGGTTAGCTGG